GCAGTGGAAAAAATTAAACTTGAAAAAATTTTAAAAAATAAAATAAAATCAGCCTTCCAGCTGGTGTATTGTGCACAATAGATTGGCTGCAGTTTATAAAAAAAATTCCTTAGAGAAAGAGTGATGATTAAAAACTAGCTATAAAAATCTAAATAAAACCTGAAGTCAATATGCTGGAAAAATACAAGTTTCTATAAATGTCGTTTGGGCAATGTTGACGTGAGTTGTGCTTTGGCCTTGTGCCTGGCTTAAATTTTGAATAAACACTTTATCTCATGTGAAAATAGGCAAGTCCTTCGAATCAAAGGCAACGGTGTTACGTATCTGCCATCTTCCCTTTATTTATCCCTTTTAATTTGGGAGTGAATTTGGTATTCCTCGTGAAAACTGAAAGGCTGATAAATGGACAAGAAGTTAGGCTGGGACCAAAAGGGCACTGTGCAGGCTCCCTAAACCAGCTGTCTCCGTACCTCTGCTCTGTAACGTCTTTGCTCTTCTTGACCTGGAGTAGAAGAGCACAAAGCTTCCTCACTTTCTGACTTAGGTGATTTTTTATGTTATGATTTCTAGACTGCGTCCTTGTAACTCACATTATTTTTTCCCCACTCATTTTAATTCAAGCGCGGTTTGCGTCCATTGCTACTTAAATGCGTTCACGGACGTTGCGGTAACAAAAAACATCGCTATCCTACCTAGCTAATGCTTTGATATATTAACAGCCAACTATAAATTATGGCAAATGTAAGGTTTCCTCCTCTAGTTCTTAACCGCCTTTTGCTGTGCATGGTCTATGTCCCAGCAGCCAAAGCTGACATGCAGCTGACAGCCGTATGAAACATCATGGAAATTAGTGTACCATGTCTAGAAAGCCGTGTTCGTAAAACATCTGGTCCTGGTTTTCTAACGCGAGGAGGGAAAACACATTTCAATTTTCAGTGTGTGGGCTGCTCAAACTCCTTGAATAGAATCATTTGCAAAGTAGGCACACAGAGGGAAAACGGCATTAATGATACAGGAAACTTGGCAGTTTGTTTCATAAAGCTCATCCTTCTACGGGAGTCTGGTAACGAAAGACAGCATAACCAGAGAATGAATACAGCAGCCACAATTACACCGAAGGTATGTAACGGAGAGCAAACCTAAGAATGGATGCAGGTAAGAAGGTGACAAGATAGCTTGATTACACATGTGAAAAAAGGTATGCAAATATATATCTTGTTTCGTTGCATAGCCTACACGCAGAGAGATTCGATACCAAAAAAATATACCAAGAGCCCTGTTTTATCTCTCCTCGGAAATGCAGAGACCCCGGCAACAACAGAGAACACATTTATACCGAACCACCTTGTCCTGGTTTCGGCAGGGATAGAGTTAATTTCCTTCCTAGTAGCTGGTACAGTGCTGTGTTTTGGATTTAGGGTGAGAACAATGTTGATAACACACCGATGTTTTAGTTGTTGCTGAGCAGTGCTTACACTAGTCAAGGACTTTTCAGCTTCCCATGCTCTACCGACTGAGAAGGCTGGGGGTGCACAAGAAGCTGGGAGGGGGCACAGCCAGGACAGCTGACCCCAACTGGCCAGAGGGACATTCCATACCATGGGACGTCATGCTCAGTACATAAAGCTGGGGGAAGAAGGAAGGGGGGACGTTCGGAGCGATGGCGTTTGTCTTCCCAAGTCACCGTTATGCGTGATGGAGCCCTGCTTTCCTGGAGATGGCTGAACACCTGCCTGCCGATGGGAAGGAGTGAATGAATTCCTTGTTTTGCTTTGCTTGGGTGCGTGGCTTTTGCTTTACCTATTAAACCGTCTTCATCTCAACCCACAAGTTTTCTCACTTTTACCCTTCCGATTCTCTCCCCCATCCCACCAGGGGGGAGTGAGCGAGCGGCTGGGTGGTGCTCAGTTGCTGACTGAGGTTAAACCACGACACACCTCCAGTCTGATTCAGATGTATGACCTGTAGGAGCTAAAAAAGGCTGAAATTTGCTGCCAATTCACTAAGAGAGCGGTCTGCCGGAGCACCCGAAGGTATCGGTCAGTCAGAGGCAGTCTGCAGTACAGGTATTTAGGGACTGAAACCACAATTTGTTTCGCACAGGCTGCTGGTATCAGGTGACAATCAGGCTTGAATATGAACCAGTAACCTAAGAGTTGAAAGACGCTATAACCTTGTGCAGTTAAAAGATGCTATATCCCTTTATAGTTAAAAGCATCCGTTTGCACGGTCACAGTAAACGTACCAACTGCAAACTTGATTTCTAACTCCGCAATACTGCACTTCTACTGGTCAAACGTTTCTTAGAACTGTACTGCTCCAGGTCCCAGCGAATAGAAAACAAAACACAAACCCCATAAAGACATTATTCTCTCCTCCTTTTGTGAATAAATTACATAATATTTACAATACATTTGTTGTAGGCAGCATAAAGGTTTCCCAACGATGTTAGTATCTAAGAGTAGCATCGCATACGTTTTCCAGATGACAATTAAAATTCAAAATGACGATTAACTTTTTTGGGCATGTACACTGGGAAAAAAAAGTATTCCCTCCCAAGATTATGCATTTCATCATTATATCAGAAAGTCGGCCGACTGGATAGGCGATGGAATATGAACCCCTTCAGCCTGTTACGCTGCTGTAGTAGGTTAAATAAATACAGTGGTATCAAGCCATCGATGCCGCTTTCTTCTTTTCGGCTCTTGGAAAGAAAATATATCGAGAGCTTCGCTGAACAAATTACATCACGACAAATACTGACACAAAGCAAAGCGGTGCACGACGTAAGGATGGCAGAGAGCTGTTTCTCAACACTAAACACTGCCCGCTCTTCAAGGATGAAGTGAAGTGCTGCTTGTTATATGCCGCAGTAATTCTTCTAATAATTGCAAGCAACGTAATTTCGGTAACAGTTCTAAGAATTCCATCTACAGGCTGTCCTCATCTGGCCTGCCAAGGTCAACAGCGTCTTTTTTTATACGGGAGCATACGTAAGTGTAAAAGGGGAAAATAAGAATCAGGGTTTAACCTCCCACGCTGTGGCATCTGCTGGCTCGCCAGGGACTAGCACGGGGTTTGGCTCCAGGGCCAACTGTTGGCACGTCTGATGAGACAGAGAACAAGGTGTTGGGCGGCATCCAACATGCACAACGGGAAGTTAAAGGAGGTGGAGTACAAGCAGAAAGGGGAAAAAACCACTGTTAAACACAGCTACGTAACTCATCCTCACCTATCCTGGCTAGAAAGGATCTGAAATGAAACTCGGCACAAGAACTCCTTTGGGATTTGGGAAGGCTGAAGCTCGGATCTGCGTACTCCAGCTTTCATCTCTAATTATACTACTAACCATGGGAATAAAGCGCTGCAGGTCACTGTCACTGTGTTTGAGCTCTGTCTGTAACGTCCTGGAAGAAACATCCTAACACCCTGAAGAAAGCAGAGAGTGGATTTGGGAGTCTCGGGATTTGCTGAGACTCCGGTCAGCGCTCGCTCACTTTTTTGAACTGAAGTTGACAGAGGTGAAAATAGCCGTACATCCAAAAAAACCTTTCCCTCTAGGGGTTTGCCACCATTACCAAGAAAACAATAAAGCAGCAGAAAAACATGAAGAAACGTGGGAACGAACAGGATTTTTTGTGTGTAGATACCACATACTTGCTGAAATGGAGATTTCGCCTCCCTTAGGTGGTCAGCGAAAGCAAGCCATTCTCCAAATCATTTGGAAAACGGTGAAAAATCGCATTTCCCGTTCCCCCTGAAAGCTCTGTTATACAGAAGATACATTCTGGCTGTCCAAAGCACTTAAGATGAAAAAGAAAGTGTGAGCTAAGTAATTTTAATAGTGTATGAAGACTACAGTTAGGAAAGTATCCACATGCAAACCGAGACTTTCTAAAAGCCTCTGAATTTTGTTAATTATTAAATATATAAACACGCACAGAAAACTTAAAATTTGTTTGAGGCAAACTGACTAAACCTCCAGGAATTTTATTTTAGCTGGTTGCTGGTGAAGAGCACCAGACTGGTTAGGTTTACTGCCAAAGGTGACAGCTCAGCATCGCATGCCATGTAGGGGAATTAAAAAAAGGAGAACATGAGCTCTTTTAGCAGTTCCTGTTTTCTGAACAGGGTTCCTTGGTTCAGGCAGCTGTTCGATTCAGCTATCGCTATTTTTTTTGAAACAGATCGTTCTTCCGGGGGGGGAGAGGGGAGGGAAATGAGAGTTTGCTTTTTATTCTTTCTTGAATTACATAAAAATGTGCTTTCTTCCAAGCTAAACAGATGGGAGATGTCTCCGGCCTGTTCTGCAAACCAGCTACAGACATTACAAACACAATTAGTCTTAGGTACGACTGAGTAAAAAACCATTACCTATCTTCCATTGATCCAAGTCGCTTTTTAGTTCAATTTGGGGTACATTGGATGAGATTTTCGAAAGAGTTAGTTAGCGTGACTTCGGACACAGCAAGACATATTAATGCAGCTGAATTGAACAGTTTAAGAAGCTACCAGCTCTTGGGATGAAATGCAGCAGTGATCAGGTTTGTGGTCTGTTCCAGTTTAACTTCAGCACCGCTTTAATGAAACTAGTTATTCATGAAGAAAAAGTCAAATATTGAATGTATCTCAAATAACAGGGCAGTAACTTGCAGGTGAATAGTGGTAACATCTAAATCTATGACAAATCTTTGAGGGAAACATCTAACCCTGCTCGCAGGAATGGACAGACAGCCCGTTTTCCAAAGCCTTTCACTGACGTTTAATGAATCAAATTTTCACCTCAAATATCCAAATCAATTTGGAAAACAGGCTTTGCTTTCTTGATGACTTTCACTGCGATCTGCACATGCACGGCTCTTGAAGAGATGATGCAGAGCCTACATTTTTCTAAACATTTGGAAGAACACAGCCTTTCATCCAAGTGTCTCAGAGAACATCGTAAACTATTAGTGAAACTTCAAAGAAACACACAGACATTTTTCTTTTCAGGAGATGGCAAATGAATGTTATGGCACTTATCCAAGGTCAGAAAAATCGATCTAAAGTAAACTCAGCAACAGAACCCAGAAATCCTTTTTTTTGCTGTTGTTGGGTTTTTTCCCATGAAATTCAGACACATGCTTCAGCCACGTAAAGCTACAAGGTTTTTCCAGTTAGCTAACAACCAACCAAATATTATCAATTCTGGTTTATATTCAATATTAAGTCAGGAGTTGCTACTAGGAAAGAGCCGGGTGGAGACGAAGTGAGTTTTACACGCTGGAAACCGTACCAGATGCGAAGAGCCGTTGTTGGTCACCGAAGGCAGGCTGGCCCAGCGTTCGTTTTCCAGTTCTTCCATCACTTGGTTCATCGCGCTTTTTAGCCACGTATCCACAGACACACCGATCTGCTTCAGCAGATCAAGACGGGCTTCTGCTTTCAGCTTAATTATCTGAGGAAATAAACACGCGCAAGTCAGAAGTCTTTCAAGATTACATTTCACTCCTTGCCACGATTCAAATGGGTTATTTCCTCATCCGCAAATTACTCAGGTGGCTCCGAAAGCTGCTCCACTCGGAAACGAGTCCAGTTCTTCATTTCCTTGCCTGCAGGAATGCGGTGTGAGCCAGGAGACAGGGAACAGTTTTCTAGGGATGTAAAACTACAGGCACAGCCAATTTCACAACTTGGGGTTTTTAAAATAACACCTATTAGTTTATGCTAACTTTCTATTCATATATTTTAGTGCTTGGTTAGTTTAGATTATTTTCAAAGTGCAAAAACCCAGACAAAACCCAGCGCTTCACAGTAATTTTAAAATCAGAGATACTCCTGGGCTGCAGACCCTGGCTGCCCTTTCGGCCGGTGACTAAACTGGATGTGATACACAAATAAATGCGATGCGATACACACACACACAAACCCACCAACCCCCAAAATGAGGCTATTTTCCATCAGCACTTGCCGGAGATCACAGGAAGCTTATTTGTTATGGAAACAGAATATCTTAATAATTCGAAAATTAAATAAGTATCACACTTCAACAGTTTCACGATTTTTGTCTTGAAAATTTAGGTTTTCTGACAGCTGGGTTCACTTTGGCATCCTGGCACGCTTTCTGGCCGACGGAGCCAAGGCTTTAACAAATTCATGGCAAACCACCACCCTGATGCAAATTATTTAACAATCTAAAGAGAAGGAATGGAAAGAGCAGCACGAAGAAATTCAGAATTTCAAGAAAAGCAGCATTTCAAGAAAAGAAAAGCAGAATTTCAAGAAAAGAAAAGCAGAATTTCAAAGACCGCATCAAGAAATGGGGGGCAAACCTAGGGATAAAATCGAGGATATTTATGTCCAGTCCAGCCCTATCATCATCATCATCATCATCATCCTGTTGCACTTGCTCATCAGAGGAATAAAAATCAAGCGATTGACCAAAGGCCCTTGGGTGAGTCACTGACGGAGGCAACAACAGAAACCCACTCAGCTGCCCTGGAGTTTTTCCTGCGTTTCCTTTCACAGCATTGTTCATTCTTAGCAAGTTACTGCGCAAGTAGCAAAGTTTCATCTCCTTTCTCACCCTCCCAGCCCCTTCCGCTGGGATCAGGAGCACCTTACTTCAGCATCGCTGCCTGTGTCGATAGATCAAGTTATCAGCGGCACTGGGAAGGCAAGCAAAACCAGCAAAAACAGATGGGTCTAAGCAAAAACTAGAGGGAAATTACTTTTTCCGTAGTGGCTGAAGCACACTGAACTATGTAAGAATATATGCACAGTGAATTAAAATGCCAGTTCGTGCTACATAGATTTTTATCTCTCTTATGAATATCCTTACTACATACAAAATTTTGTGTTGAGCCAGAACGATGCTGGTATTTTTCTTGTTTTTGACACACTGCTGCACTTTACTATCATCTTTCTATTAAGAAGATAAGTCAGAAAATAAATGACTATAATTTTTATTTAGCTGAACCCCCAAACATGGGCCCATTTTCATTTTAAAACTAATTGCGAAGGTGACGTTAGACCCGTTTCAAACCATGAAACTGCTTTTGAGACATATTATTTTAAATTTAATTTAATTTTAATTATTTTAATTAGAAGAAATGTAATGTTTAAAAAGTAGATAAGTTATTAGGGTAAAATTTATGATGTGAAATGTATCTTCATATGGGTACAGCTGCATGCACACGCTCTCCCACATAATTAGGTATGGAGACTGAAGGATCGGACAAGTTTGAGAAGTATTTCCCACGGGAAAAGCCAAAGCCACTTCGCCAACTCAAGTTTCCACTTCTCCGTGCAAGCGGTCTTCAGGTGAATGATTAACGTGTACTGTAAATACTGTTCATATAGCCAAGAAAGTGAGGAAAAAAGTAAAATATATTACTATGCATCACAGTACTTCAATCAAGATTCAGAAAATACTGATTTGAAAAGAATAAAGACTCCAAAGATGGATCCACACATCAGCATTTACATTTCAAAGGCAGAGCCTTTCAATTCAGCTGCGGCATCAAGCATCTTCTGAAAACCTTGTAAGCTGGTATGGTGCAAGCCCCAACCCCAACTTTGTAAATATTTACAGAAGCAATACCTGTGAGAAGGTCTGAAATCAGAAGCGTTAGATGGTGTTGGAGTTTTGAGCTCCTGGGGTGAACAGAGTAGGTATTTTATCCCTTTAGCGGTCTTAGAAAGGCAATACCTGTCACTCCCTTTTTTTCCTTTTGCCCCTACTTATATTGGTTTGTCTATTTTAAAGCCTTAGGAACATGGAAACAGTAATAATTTTAATTAATCATTAACCTTTTAGTTGGAAAAACTTGTTTTAGGAGCGCTTACCAAATTGGGAAGTGGATTTCTCACTAAATCAAGCTAAACGGAGAATACACTTTTAAACCAAAGATGTTAGCGCAGAAGGGTTGCACCAAAAAAGCTGAATCCAGGGATGCCAATTTCTGCACGTGAACCCACCTCTCTCTTGTTAATAAGTATTCAAGACTTTGAACAAAAACCCTTTCTAGACACACCTGCTTTGAGAGAAGGGGAGACGAGTGACTCTACGGCACCCAGTGAAGATGAGCACTGATCCTGCCTCTTTATTTGGACGCTCCTACACCCAAGGCGAACTACCCGCTAGCATGATGTTGGAGCACGGTCAGCTCCAACCTTGGCAGCTGCATATGAACAGGCAGGTTGGACATTTGCAGTGTGGGAACAACCCAGGCAAAGGGAATTGATTCATACGGGGTTGATTTATGACTGTGGTAGGGCATGGGTGGGTTAGCGGCTTCGGCGGACACATCATCCTTTTATTGGTTTGGTTTTTTTTCTTGAAACTGTGATAGATTGATTTAATGCAGGTCAATGCAAGTCATGTGCTTTAGCTTGTTAATGAGAAACTCCCCATTTTATCACGTTACTGAGCTGAGGTGCCTCCGTGTGTGTATATATACTTGCAGAGCAAAGTAGCTATCCCTAATTTGTCTTTGTATTCTGACATTATGTTACGGTACGAGGACTTTCTGTACGCCTTCAACAAAAGCTGCCTAGGAAATGATCAGCCTAGTTGTTTTGCTGTTTTACCTCGTTATGCAATTTCCAATTAGCTTGAGTTATGCAACAGCAATAAACATTAATCTAGGCATGCTATAAACATTTGTAGTTCATATTAGTACTCAGTCTGCTGTAAACCATGTTGTTTGTACAAACTTGTTAGCTAAAATAAACAAGCCGCTCCAAGATCCTTGACTGTACTTGCTAAGGGTCAGACAAGAGTTTTTAATTCAAGGTACCCAGCAAATCCAATTGAGTTACCCCACTCTATTTACACACAGTAGTCTTAATATTCAACAAATGTTTGTTCCAAACCACAAATGTTTTGAATTTCATTCCATTGCAGACAAGCCATAAAAGTACGTACAGTATTAGGTCAGGCCTGCACTTGAAAGATGTATAACGCTATTTACAAGAATACATATGTACTTTTACCAAAATAATTATACTGGTAGACCAGGGTTAACAGCTTCCTACCTATACGAAAAAAAAAAACCCAAACCAGACAGTAGTATAACTTTATTCTGCTTCTCACACAGGAACAGCTACATATTTAAAAATACAAGCACTTCATTCAAATATCACTATGTCACTTAGCTGGGGTTTGATGCTTTCATTACGCTGGAATAAAATGTTAAGCAAGAGGGAAACAAGGGATCACCCGGAGGAAATACTGGTGTTTCCACCAGCATCAAGTCATGCGACAAGCTTTGCTGCGTGTGTTGCTTTTATTCCTGTAGCCAGGCACAAGGCAGGCTCTTCCCTTTGGAAGGCGAAGTTTTTGCAAGCTGGAGTCCTGACTTCATCAAGGAGGGACCCACCTTGCACAAAGGATGCAACTTCAGCTTGCCCAGTCTTCTCTTTCAGTTTCTGATGTGGGAACATGGCCAGAAAGTGATGCACTGACATAGGAAGAGACGTGGTGTACTTCCTGACAGATCACAGATTTGCATTACACTGCAAAACCACACAAGACTACAAAATCCTTAAGAAACGATGCGCTAGCTCTCAAAGACTTGCTCCCTCAGAAAGATCAGATATTTCAAATTAAAAATTAAACAAGGCTTTAACCATTGAATTTCCCTCTCAACAAAATGGAGTCAAGCAGCCGCACATGCCATACTTCCTGACTGAGTGACCTCCACTGACCGAAGCTCATAGAATCATAGAATGGTTTGGGTTGGAAGGTTGGAAGCTCATCTAGTCCAACCCCCCTGCTGTGGGCAGGGACATCTTCAACTAGATCAGGTTGCTCAGAGCCCCGTCCAGCCTGACCTGGAATGTTTCCAGGGATGGGGCATCCACCACCTCTCTGGGCAACCTGGGCCAGTCTCTCACCACCCTCAGCGTAAAACATTTCTTCCTTAGATC